AGTGAGGTGGTCCGGCAGACAAAGAAACAACTTTCACTTTATAAGAGAAACCAAGGGAGGAGCAGTTTCATTTCCATAGCAACATAACTGGCAGGGTAGCAGCAGGAAGTAATACAGAAAATGGGGGGAGCAAACTAACGAACTTAAGAACACACCACAGCAAATCCCCAGCCCATGTTCTCTCTGCGGTTGCTGTTTCCATGTTCCCTGTCCCGTTCCCATATTCTCTTCCTTGATCCTTGTCTCCATTTGCAGACCCTGTCCCCATCTCTGGTCTCATTCCCGTCCCCCTTCTCGGCCCTTGTCCCCATTCCCGGTGGCATTTCTGGTTCCTGTCCTCATTCCCGGTGGCATTCCCGTTCCCCATTCCCAGTTGCTGTCCCTAGTTCCTGTCCTCTTCCCCGGCCCCATTCTCGGCCCCTGTCCTCATTCCCTGTCCCATTCCCAGTTTCTGTCCCTAGTCCCGTGTGCCCTTCCCTGGTCCCATTCTTGGCCTCATTCTAGGTCCCTATCTTCATTCTTGGTCCCATTCCCGGTTCGTCTCCCCACTCCCGTTCCGGCTCCCTGTCCCCATTCTCGCTCCCAGTCCTCATTCCCGCTCCCTATCCCCTCTCACCGGACGCCGCTGCCATCGCTCCGCCCCCTCCCGGCCCTCACATAACCGAGCAAACCCCGCGCTGCTCCCGCCCACCAATCCCAGCGCGCGATCGTTCCTGTATTTGCATAACCACTCCCTTCAGTTTGGCGCCGCCCACCGCCGGCTGCAGCCGCCTCCGGGCGCTGTTTCCTTCCAGTTCCCTCCCAGTGCTCCCAGTAAGCGCGGACCTGGCAGGGAAAGCGCTCCCAATTCCTTCCGGCTGATCTCATGATCGTTCCCACTTCTGCGCGGAGCGGGGTTATTTCGGAACCCGCCCAGGGCAGAGCGCGGCTGCTTTTGGGGATTGTCACTGCCCGGGCCGGGCTGCGAGCGGAGGAGGAGCGGAAGGAAGGGGAGGGACAGAGGAGGAAGAGCGGAAGGAAGGGGAGCAGCAGAGGCACGTTGGTTTCCCCGCCGCCTTCCCCCGCCGCTCAGGCCGAAGCTCCCCCAGTTCCTGCTGCATCGCCCCCTCCAGGAGCCGCCGGTGAGCGGGATGGTGGAGCTCGCACCAGATCCATCGCGGGGGGGGTCTCCGGGAGGGTTTTTTCGTGGGGCAGAGGATCTGTGACTCTTGCTGGACGCCAAAGCCGAACCGTACATTTCCCATGGAGGGACCAGCCTCACGTTCTCTCGGTATCGACGGGCACAGCGGCAATCACGGATTTGGGGATCTCTGGGAGAGCCGGGGGGGAAAGCGGGAGCCCCGGAGCGGGGAGAGCGCAGAGAGGCGGTCCCGGAGCCGGGGGACAAACCGGCTGCCTGGAGGGGTGCGGGAGGCTGGGGATGAGCGGGCTCCGGGCCCCCGAGGATGAAAGGGGCGCTGACTTCTCCAGTTGCACTTGGGCAGCGGGACCATCAAACCCAACGCGCTCAGCCCTTGTTTTCCCCTAAACCAGGATTTCCCATTCCCAAATCTTGGCCAGATGCAGGAGGAGGAAAAGGCTGTGAGGAAAAGGAAGATGGCCCGGGAGCCCCAGGCAGGTGAGGAGGAAGTCAGTGCCCCTTTCCCCCTCTCTCCTGCTCCATCTCCCAGCCCAGCACGGGCCCCGGCTGCAGGACAACCCTGCTGCCAAAGCCGTCCTGCTGGGGATGCACTGGGGGATCTCCTTCCCCCTTCCTGTGGCACGGAGATAAATCCCATCCTCTCCTTGTCCTTCCTCCCCCAGACCAGGAGCTGAGGATGGAGAGCAGGGAGGACAAATCCCCACAGCAGAACCTTGTGGAAGAGGCTGTTTTGTGCAGCTCCACAGCACAGGAACCCAACGGGGAGGAAAAGCCCAGGAGGTCCCGCACGAGGAGGGGCTGCAAACACAGATCACGGGGATCTGAGGAGGAAAGACCCACCCTGGGCTGGGGAGGCAGCCGGAGCTCAGAGCTGGTGGTCGATGAAGAGCTTCAGGATGGGGAGAAGCCCCAGAAGTGCTTGAAATGTGGGAAGAGCTTCAGCAAGAGATCCTACCTGGTCCGCCATTGGAGAATCCACACAGAGGTTCGGCCATACAAGTGTCCCGAGTGTGGGAAGAGCTTCAGAACGAGCTCCCACCTGACTGTCCACCAGAGGAGCCACAATGGGGAGAAGCCCCACAAGTGCTCAGAATGTGGGAAGAGCTTTAGTGATAGATGCAACCTCATCATCCATTGGAGAATCCACACAGAGGTGCGGCCATACGAATGTCCTGAGTGTGGGAAGAGCTTCAGGACGAGCTCCCACCTGGCTGTCCACAAGAGGAGCCACACCGGGGAGAAGCCCTTCAAGTGTGGAGAGTGTGGGAAGAACTTCAGCAAGCGCTGCAACCTGAACTACCACCAGCGAATCCACACTGGAGACAGACCCTACGAGTGTGATAAATGCAGGAAGAGGTTTCTGACCAGTTCTCATCTCCTCCAGCACCAGCCGATTCACTCAGATGAGAGGCCCTTCTGCTGCCCTGACTGCAGGAAGGGCTTCAAGGACAACTCCACCCTCATCAGGCACCGCCGCATCCACACCGGGGAGAGGCCTGGGGCGAGGCCCTACGAGTGTGATCAATGTTCGAAGGCATTTAAGACCAGCTCCCATCTCCTGCTGCACCTGCGCACTCACACAGACGAGAGGCCCTTCCGCTGCCCTGACTGCGGGAAGGGCTTCAAGCGCAACACCCACCTCACCAGCCACCGGCACATCCACACCGGGGAGACGCCCTATAAGTGTCCCGAGTGTGGGAAGAGATTCCGGCATAGCTCAGCCGTGACCCACCATCAACGGAGCCACCACTAAGGGCAGTCCTGTGAGTGCCCTGAGTGCAGGAAGAGCTTCCTGTGCTGCTCCAGCTCCATCCCCTATGGGAGATCCACCCTGGATGATCCCCAGTGATCCCCGGTGATCCGTGGTGCCGGTGATCCTGTTGGGAAGACACCTGGCTGGGGGGCTCCACATCCTCCTGGCTCCCTGTGGGTACCTGCACACATCCACAGACCAACATCCAAAATCCATTTTTTAGAGCTGATTTGTCCACTCCTGACCCCAGAAAAAAAATCACTTTTTGCCTATTCTGGTGGCCTTAACAACACTGGATAGCCTTGGAGGTCTTCTCCAACATAAATCCATCGTTTTAATTCTCTCTGGCCCACGGGCATCTTCCACAGCCAAATGGGGAGGGACTGGGGCAAAACCCTCAATTTTCGAGACAGTTGGGTGGAAACCCCTGTAAAAAAGGTTCTTCCCACCTGCCAAGCACATGGATGCTCTGCCAGCAGGGATATATAAATCGTTTTGGGGTTTTTTTGCCTTGAAACAAAAAGGTTTCTGTTCATTCCTTTCAAAGCCCTAAAACTGGCATAGAAATAATAGTTGGACTAAGGCGTGCATGGGGACATGTGGGGGAGAATGACATGTGTAGGGCCATGGGGGGACATGGACATAGACAGGACCATGTGGGACATGGCGGAACACAGACATGGATGGGAACATGGGAAACATGCATGGAGACATGGACTGGGACAGTGTCAATGCCACCACCACAGTGCCACCAGCACCTTCATCTGGGGCATGGCAAAGCGCTGCCTGATGCAGTTCCTGCCACCACATCCCCACTGTCACCACCGCGGTGTCCCAGCTGAATGTCACCACCCATCAGGGCAGGGTGGGGACATTGTTCAGCTGGTGACAAGTGGCCTGGAAGTGAGTGACAGCCACCAGGGTGTCCCAGGGCCACTGCACTCAGGGGACCTCAGCTGCCCCTGGAGACAGGCTGGGGACAGGGGAAAAGGTCAGTGTCACCTGTCAGGTCATGTTGCCCTGCACTGGGTGTCACCAAAGGCATCCTGGTGGCAGCATCCACACAGGTGTGGCAACATTGTCCCCTGATGTGTGTCGTGGTTGCATCATGTCCCCTCCCCTCTGTATGTCCCTATCCCCCACCATGGCTCCCTGTCACATCTCTGTGTGTCCCTGTCCTGTACCGTGTGTCCCTGTCCCCTTCTGTGTGTCCCTGTCCCTCCCCCTGTGTCCCTGCCCCCACCCCTGGTGGGGCTGAAGTCCCCGAGGTCTTGGGGTCGTGTCCTGCAGGGCGTCCCTGTGTCCCTCAGGATGTTCCCATGGCTGCTCCTGGCACTGAGTGTCTGCGCCCACCCTGGCACAGGCAGAGTCCTGCCACGGCACCTGTGACACCCCACGACATCCCATTACACCATTTGATTTTGAGTCCCTTCCCCTCCATTTTGGGTCCATTCCCCGTGCGTGCTAAGGGTCCCACTTCAAACCACCCCAGAACTCCCCAAAATTCCTCACCCATGATGTCCACGCATCCCCCTGGAAGTCCCCTCAGGCTCTCGGCCACGGAACTGTTGCTGGTGACATTGAGCCACAGGATCCACAGGCTGTCCCCAAGGGTGGCCCCGGCTGCTGCCTCCAGTGGCCCCTGCTGCAACAGGTCCCTTATGGTGTCCAGGACTGCAACCCCAGACATCAGTCAGTGACCCCGAAAATTCATCAGGGATCCCAAAAATTAACCAGGGACCCCAAAAACCCCATTAGAGAGCCCCAACCCCAAATCCATCGTGACAGGTTCCGCATGCTGGCCGGTACTGCGACCCCAAAAACTCATCACAGATCCCAAAACCTCCCAAAATTCATCAGGGATCTCAAAAATCCATCAGGGATCCCAAAATCCCCTGCTGGGGACAATCCTGATGTGTCCCTTAAGGAGTTGAGGACATCTCCAGGATGTCCACCTCTTGTAGTGTGTTTTCTTTATTTGGCAGGTTCTCTGTGTAATTTGTGGTTTTGCAACCCCTCTGTATTGTCCTCCCTGTTATTCACTTTAGTTCTGTTTGTTAACCAGCTACTCCCTGCCAAGTTTCAAACCTCCCCCCCTTCCCAGCTGTTAACCCCTCCTGCCCCTACCTTTGCCCCAGAACCTTCCTTACTCCTCCTTCCATTAAATGTCAATCTCTGCCCGAACCTGCCCTCCCCTTTAGAAACTTCCCTGTCAGTTTTGTATCCTTTGAAACCCCACCGGTTTACTCAAGCTGTTCTCCTCCCTTGAAGTCCTTCCTTGGTTTACACATTGTATTCCCTGCCTTGTGTTCCACCCCCAGTTCCCCCGATTAGCTAGAGATTTTACCCTCCCCGAGACCCCCCGTTTATAAGCTGTTGTCTGCCCTCTGTTCAGGGTCCTGGGATCCTGGACTCGCATTGCCCCTCAGCCTGCAGGGCAGGTTTTGCCCCCGAGCAAGGCAGCACGGGCTGGATAGCTCAGTCCCTGCTGGGGACAGAGAGCCCAAATACCCAGGCTGCTCGTAGCCATGGCTACCTTAAGCAAGCTTAGTGGATATCAGCTCTTTAGTGATTATCAGCTCTCTTAGAATTCCAGCTCTTTGCTTGCTAAGGTGCCTGGCAGGCTATTGGGGGAAGCAGACAAGAGAGGAGAAGAAAGGTCCTGGCGTTCCACAGCGATGGTTTTATTGGGGGGTCTGTGAAGGGTTTGAGCGACTGCTCTTCTGGCAAACGGGCTAAACCAGCCCCTTTTTATAGGGTACAAAGGGATCCAAACTTGTCCAATAGTAGGTGTTGGGGGAAAGTGACCTATGGGGTTGCAGAGATAAGCTGGGGTCCAAGAGGCGGAAGACAGGAGCTTATTTTGCTATTTCATCATGACTCAACAATTCCTATCCTTAAGCCTCAGCCCTCTATGGGGCCCTGGCCAATTCCATGGAGCCTGCTACAGACTCAGGGAGTTTTGCCATCGAATAAAGTTCCCCCAGTTCCACCGCAGGGCCCGTGCTGCTGCCTTTTTGTTTCTGCGCCGAACCTCCCCTGGTAGCTGGGATTCTGCGGAGCTGCAACAGGGGCTCTGTTGCGCCCCTGTTATCATCCAGTCGGGACTCAGCGCCCCACGACAGATCCGCCACATCCACCCCTCCCCGCCCTGTGTGTCCCCCCTCACCCTCCCTGCCCTGGGGACATTTGGGGACACCCCTCTCACCCAGGTGTCGCTTCTGAGGGTCCCTGGTGAGCTGCACGGCCAGGCCGATGCCCTAAGGTCCCCATTCTAATACACAGTACAGTACACACAGTACATCTCAGTCCATCCCACAGAACACAGCCAGTGAGCCAAAATTAACTGTTTCTCAGCTTCTTTCACAGAACTTGGACAGTTAAACCCTGGCTGCATGTCTCTTAAAAAGCACTGGCAGTAAGCTGGAAGTAACTCTTTCGCAACTTCTTTCACAGAGCCTAAGCAACATAACTGCACACCCGCCCATACCCCAAAACACAAACACTGAATCTACACCAACAGAACTTTCGGGAAACTAATATCTCCACTGCTTACAGGTGAGCGAAGGGGTGGAGGTTGGGTTTACTTACGAATGCTCACAAAAAATAAATCAGGAGATATATTAATCACAGCTATCACGGGCCCCAAAAAGTTCTGGTAACCTTCATAGCTGATACGGGAGCCCAGATCTCTGCACTAACACATAAAGATGCGCAGAAGTGTGGAGTTGTTCCAACAAAAAGGCAATGCTGCATTCTTAATGCTTTAGGAACCATAGAATCAATGAATGTTGCTCTGGTCAAAGTAACACTCCCTGGAGAGGAAAATCAATTAGTTGTCAAAATGGTAATTGGGGACATTCCGAATAATCTGCTAGGGATGGATGTCCTTGCAGGAAAGCAGTGGGAAGACACTGAGGGTTTTCTGTGGTCTTTTGGCACTCTGCCACTTAACATTAGGCTGCTTCACACTGCACCAACACTGCCTTATAGTAAAACAATCAATGTGAAACAGTATCCCTTGCCTTCTGGAGCTAGGGAAGGCATCAAACCGGTTATTCAAGATTTGCATGACCAAGGAATAATAATTAACACACACTCCCCATACAATTCACCCGTGTGGCCACTCCGAAATCCCAACAGGAAGTGGAGGCTCACAATAGATTATCGTAGGCTCAATGTCAACACTGATCCTCTGACTGCAGCAGTGCCAAATTTAACTGAATTCAATAAAAGAAAAAGCTCACACAATCATGGCAACCATAGATGTCAAAGACACTTCATGATACCTATACAGCCAGAGGACATGGACCGCTTTGCATTCACATGGGAGGGACAACAGTACACATTCACCAGACTCCCTCAGGGATACAAACACTCTCCAACACTAGCACACCATGCTTTAGCTAAGGAATTAGAAAAAAATACGTAAAACTGACACTGTAGGTGTTTACGAATACATTGATGACATTTTGGTGGGAGGAGAGGAAATTAAAGAGGTGGGGGATCTCCAGCAGAATATAATCTCTCATCTGGAGAGCCTTGATTTAAAGATTCCTTCAGAGAAAATTCAAAAGCCTTCTCAGGAAGTAAAATTTCTGGGAATTTGGTGGCGATCTGGTAGCACATGCATTGCACCTGACACTTTAACTTCTCTAGAGCAAATAAAAATGCCCGAAAACAAAAAAGACCTCCAGCAAGCCTTAGGACCGTTAGTATTCTGGAGGAAACACATCCCAGATTTTTCCATCATTGCTAGGCCCCTTTACAACTTACTAAGGAAAGGAGTCAAATGAGATTGGACTCCTTCTCAGGAGGAAGTATTACAATTGCTGATTTTTGAAGCCACAGCACATCAGGCATTGGGGCTCATTCACCCTAAAGACCCTTTCCAGGTGGAAGGGGGATTTGCCTCCTCAGAGCTATCAATACACATCTGGCAGCGAGGTCCTGAGGGTCCAACAAGGCCCGTCAGCTTCTTTTCCCATTGTTTTAAAGATGCTGAGAAAAGATACACTACCTGGGAAAAAGGATTGTTTGTTGTTAGCTTAGCTCTCATTGAAGTAGAAAAAATCACACGGCAGCAAGCTATCATCTTGAGAGGTCCCTTCAAGGTAATTAAAGCTGTCACTAATGGGACCCCTCCACCTGG